GAAGGCCCCCTGAATTGTCCGAGTAGGAACACCGTGGGGGTTTAGCCGGTAAGAATCCGGCACTGTTCCCCGTCCCCCCAGGGGAAAATTATCACACGTCTTAGAACAAAGCAGGGTCTTTTCTGTTTTTCAGTATTCTGTAATTTCATCATTTCATAATTGTCGTTATATTGCTAATAAAGTATTTAAATTTATCTCCAATTATATGCAAGATATGTAACTAGACTAGTGAGGTTAAAAATTATATCTAAAGTTAATATGTATAAATAATAGATATTAAAAGAAGTAAATAAATCTACCGTGAGTCCAATTCTTCGGAAAAGAATTCAACTATATCACACTATAAAATTGTTCTCTTCAGATATTTCATAAGATGCTTCCGTAATGAAAGCACAGAAAATAATGATGTACAGATGATTTCCCGCACATTTGGATAGTTCTTATAACAGCCACCACTGTACCGTGGCGCGACCGCGGTCGCTGCCGGGTGCTCGAACGCATCGTGACGCGGTACAGAAAATATTCTCCAGAAAAAAGGAGGAAATTGGGGCAAGATTTTTTTGTATAATAAAGAAAAATCTTTGCTAAATGTGGCAGTGTTTGAAACAAGGCCGGATCTCGCCGTACAACATATCAAAATCATTCATGAAGTATTATACTTATAAATACTATCGTTGCTCATAAATAATGCATAAATATAAACAATTAAAGAAAATCCTGTGGTTCTAAAGTAAAAAAGGCAGAAGGAAAATCTTTTACCTCCTTGTACCCGCCGTGAAGGCCCAACAAGGAAGGCCCCTATGAACGTAGGATAAGGCCCAATCAGCTGAGGCCGAAGTCTTACCATCGTTGTCTCCTAAGGATGACAAGTCCCATGGAAATAGACTGTTGGTAGCGCCGAATTTCCGTCCAAAGCTCCTCTAGCTCCCCAGGCTACTTTCGGAGCACGCCACATCTATAGAATATTTGAATTCTATTTATTTTTATTTGTGATTAAACAGATTTATTTCCAACTATATTTATCGGCTTCACAGTATACAAATGGTAACTTGGAATGTGTAAATTGTGCGCGGCAACTCGTGCTGCAGCCTGCCTTACTGGTATATGCATGGTGTACTTCCTTCGGTGGTCGGATGGAGAAGAAATAGAAATCCGCGCGTGGAATAAGCAGTTGTTTCCTCAGGTGGCATGGCGATCTACTCATTACATTGGCACGCCGTCTAGTGAATGGTGACGAAGGTTGCAAGCTCCCGGTGGACAAATCAGCCGCGTCGGTAACTCGTTTTACCGTTCACCGTAGTGGAGACACCACACATCTATTCAGAACCGTGACTACGCGCTGTATAGATCTGGACCCCGGTCACTTTTTATATGTACGTATAAAGTTTAATTGTTTTATTAATTTTCATAATAATTATAAGAAAGCTTTTCACGACCGTTCTGTTTTAAATAATTTGCTGCATCCGTTACCTTGCTACCATCTGTTTTTTCCTCCTGTGCGATATGGTCTATTGCCCTTCCTATCTTTGCTCTTACTAGTCGCACCTTAAAGTTATAATCTATTACTTTTTGCTTTATCGAGGTCTTTGCATTCTTTGTCTCGATCATTTGAACATTTATTTCGGTGCCCATCTTGTAAACCTCCTCTAACATTTTATATACGCTTTTTAGTTCTCCTAGGGTAGTAAGATCGCTCTTTGGGAGGAACAGGGCGCCTTTACTTTTGGTGTCCAATACAGTCTTGTTTGTTGTTTCAGAGTTTTCCTTCTCAGGACAGCCCCTCTTCAGTATTTCCCCGACAGATTTTTTACCCACGGTCGATTTGTATTCCTCCTCTATTGTTGAGTCTCTCCCATCGTTTGTAATTTTAATTCGATTACACTGTGGAACAAATTTTGACCTATGTCAGTTTTTGCAATAACCACTATGTGATTCTTATAGAGTTCCTTACCTTAAGTACGAATCCGAAAACCAAATTCAGATCCAGTTTTCGAAAAAACAGGGGTTTTGTAAAAACGGTCGAATTTTTCAGAAAACCAAGTGTTACGTGAAAACTAAAAACGATAGGCAGTTAAAGTTTGTCGCAAAAAATAAAGGAGACTTGCTCGATCACGTAGCTATAAAAATTTTGAATTTTGCGTATCATTAAATGTTTGTAAACGATGATCAAAGTTTAAAAAAAGGTAGATGCGATATCTATTACCTTCAAGATATTAATAATCGAAAGATAATATAATTTATATCGGCAATCTTGTCTGATTCGATAGTTTTAGTGTTAATCATCGTAAGAATATTACTCGTACATGTGTATTCACATATTAAACAGTAAATTATTTAAAACAGAACGATCGGGAAAAGCTTTCTCATAACTATGATGAAAATTTATAAAATAATTAAACATTATATATACATATAAGAAGTGACCGAGGTCCAGGTCTATACAGCGCGTAGTAACGGCCCTGCATAACTGTGGCCGGCGAGCGATGGCCGTGTGGCGCGAAAGTTCCTTGCACGCGCTATTCGCGGACATTTTCTTACCCTGTCCCAAAGAAAAACGGATCTCACGCTTCCCACAGGGGGGTTCCTCTTCAGAAATGTCTGCAGAATCCAATGGTGCACAGCAAATTCGTGCTGGCCAACCCACTTATCGTAGAAATGTAACAGAAGTGCATATAAAGTACGCGCATCTACCCTTTTTTAAACTTTGATCATCGTTTACAAATATTTAATGATATGCAAAATTCTAAATTTTTATAGCTACGTGATCGGGCAAGTCTCCTTTATTTTTTGCGACAAACTTTAACTGCCTATCGTTTTTAGTTTTCACGTAAGACTCGGTTTTATGAAAAATTCGACCGTTTTTACAACCTGACCCAGCAATTTGGTTTTCGGATTCGTATTTAGGGTAAGGAACTCTATAAGAATCACATAGTGGTTATTGCAAAAACTAACATAGGTTAAAATTTGTTCCACAGTGTTATCTCTTCTTGTGGCCCCTTTCATAGGACTTCTCCTCAGAGCTTTAGAAATCCCAAATGGGTCTGAAGGTTCTGCTCCAAGCCACTGATTTCTCGTACTGTTTTGTTGTGTTGGGTCAACGCTTGTTCGCGACTCGAATGTTTTCACGATTTTACGTTGACCGCACATGTGATGCCCACCAAATTAATATTAGGCACCGGAATCCGTCGGTGGAGCAGTGGTTGCGTGTTCGGGATACGTTTTTGTTCGTAACGAATGATTCGAATGGGCGACTTTACCCTTAAACTTTTCAGTAGGGAGATTTTCGTGAGCGAGTGTTTCGAGCGAGTGTTCGAATCCAGAACGATTGATTCAAGTGAGTGTTCGATAGGAAATAATCGATGGTAAGTCTTGGTTAGGTTAGATTAATGTTCTTGTTAGCAAGTGTTCTTCGTCCGCATTCTTGCACCCACAAGTCAACATTTTACCCCTCTTTCTGACGTTTGGAAGGAGGTGCTGACGGAGTGGGAGCAAGAAACCGACCAAGTTTTCGGGAAAAAATGAAGTCTGGCAACAGCGGAAAATCCCGCTACTTGACCCACGTGCGAATGTGTACTAGGTACTGCGCGAATGTTCGGTGAATTTGTGATATCGGGGCAGTGAATGAAAACCCGCTATTTGGGCCCATGTGCACGTGCCAACCTAAGTACGGGACGCATCCAGGGCCGCGGGTGATCCTCGATGCTGCGCGAGAATTTATCTGGTTTATGACAAGGGCATTTTTTTACGGTACACCTTATCCGAAGTTTTATCTTGTTTTTGTGTTTTGTCCATGTCTTCGTCATATTTCCATACCTGCGTTTTGTTTTTTTGTAAAAGTCATCATATTCATATAGGGATGAGGTCGATCTTCTGGACACAATAATCTCCTAGCGATTGTCCCGGCTTCGTCTCATACAGGTCCGCCTCGCGCAGCAATCGCGAAAACAGCATCGCCTGTCGAAACTGCACCACCAACATACCTTTCATTTCGCCTCGCGTAGACTGAACGGCGTGTCCACATAGATTTGTTGCTAAATGCCAGTCACATCACGCAGCGGTCATCCCACGCGAATCGGTCCGCCAACTCGTCCACGCGTCAGACCTAGTTCCCAACCGCGATGTTCTCCTTCGTCAGGTCGTAGATGGGGATCAAGTGCTTATTCCTTGGTCGTGCGTAACTCGACGACTTCGCGCGCGAGTTTGTACTGTGCGAGCTCAGCGATTCTAGGATCCTCTCCAGACGATCCCGTCCGTTATCGCGACGCGGACTATACGATCGGTCGCGAAAGTCTCCTTCACGCGTGGAGCCTCGTCGAGAGCTCGCTCTTCGCCTTTCCGGTGTTTGCGAGCGCGTCTTTCGGCATCGCGGTGTACGTGATCTTGTTTTGCGTTCTCACCTTGCAACGCTCGAATGCACGCGACGATGTCTGTGATCGCCGCAGAACCTCCAACTACAGCCTTCAATCGTTGAAAATGCGATTTCGACGGGTCTTGCGGTTCCGAGACTGCATTCTTCGATTCACGATTCACCGACGCGTGATCTGCCATTTCGTTCACGATATGAATGTTCTAAATCGATAAAACTAGTCCAATTTGAGTCATGTTCGGACTCATTTTAATTGAAAGATGTAGGAAATACTACACAGTACTAAAAGAACAGTACTAAATAATTGTTATAATAACTTACATTTTAAAACTATTTTATACAAGTGTTTAGACTTTATTTAGGGGTTTACTGCTGGTCGGATTATGACAAGTAAATTGCTATAATAAATACAACCGTTCAAAATTGTAAACCTGAACGCGTAAACATGTATAGGTCAATATAGTTTTAATTTATTGCAGTATCTTTTAAAACAGCGCCAAAAACAGGATTTTTTGGAATTTCCGAATACGTCACGCCACGACTGAAGATGACCGTTACGTTAGAGGTGTGAAAACCAGAATCAACCAATTAGAAATCATCACTCCGCCAAGCACAGCTTTAAAGAGAGCTGTCTTGGGCCGAAATGCCAAATATTCAAGGTCGTACCGACGAACAATAGAAATTTCTCCAGATGATTCATGTAATATTGACGAGACGATTCTTGTATATTACGTGGTCACCTGTATACACGTATTCTGGACGAGAAACTTTCGATACATCAAATCAACATCCACACCATTGTTATCCTTGTGCTGCTGTTAAGTTTGTTATACTTAGAATTATATTGATTCATTACACAGTATACCACGGGTTATTTATTTAACATTCCTTGTGTACCAGCAAAAGATTCTTCGAGCCGGATCTCAAGAAACAAAACACAGCGTACTTTCGATTCATTGTAACGAGTCGCACAATGCGCCACCAACAAGGCTTCGTATTTTGCATGCTCTATGCGAGGACTTATTCGTACCGGTACGATTAAAAAAATGCGCATAATTCTTTTTTTTATCAGGGGGGACATGATTGGGAGTTACCTAAAAATGTGAGAATCAAAATTGCCTCCAGTATGTTCCCCGCAAATTCTGAAATAAAATATAAGAGATATTAAACAACTGTAGGGAAGAGGTTAGGTTAACAACCCATGCATGAAGCAAGAACTTGCAGAAAAATTTGTAAAACACCTGTATGCATAAAAAAAGAGTGATGAATGCCAACACAGGGTGTACGTGCAAGAATGAGGATGAGAACCTTATATTCAGAGACAAGTATGAGGGTTTATAGTTTGTTGGGTTAAGTAAGATTCATGGTCATTGGGACCTTGATTTTATACGGTATATTGTTTTATCTGTAGAGGCAGATGTCTACTATCAGTGGATTGGTGTGAGATGCTACATTATATTTATGCAGCAGTTTATTCAGGAAAGTTTTAATCCATGGAAGTTCTGTTTTTGAGTGGATGGCATTTGTGAAGTGCTCCATTGGGAGGTTCAGGATGGTTTCAACGCCTTGTTTTGGATTATCTGTATTCTCTTGATATAGACTTTGGCGGCCACCAGCCATATATAGAAGCTATAAGAAAGCACTGGCTTAATGCAGGCAATGTAAATTAACAGTTTTACCTGGGTAGATAGTTTAGATTTGTGGCTTAAGAGTATGAGAGAGGCTCCGAAGGCAGCTAGAGCTAGGGTACACATGCATTTATTGCAACTTTTAGACCATGGTATATTAGTGTTGTTGATAATGATGGAGGGTATAGTAATTTTGTTTTTCTTACACTCACGTGTAAGGAACATGGCTTAAGTCTTGGAAGTATTTAGTTTTAGTTTCCAATTGTGGAAGTAGTCTGACAATGAGTTAAGGTGCGATTGTAAATTTTTGGCAAGTTGTTTGGGGTCATAGAAGGTAACTATGATGGCAGTGTTATCAGTAAATAGTGGCAGTGAGATGTTTGTTTGTTGAGACACATCATTAATAAAGAGTAGGAAGAGCAGTGGGTTCAAAAGATGAAGCCTTGAAGAACACTGTGCAGCAATAGAATTTTTAGAGGATTTTCATTTGGAAACTTGGATGTAGAAAAAAATTATTGCTGGGGTAATTATTAATCAGTTTAAGGTAGGACTGAAATTATTTGTTACTAACTTGAACAGAAGGCTCCTTGTTTATACAGAGTCGAAGGTTTTGTTTAGATCCAAAAGTGTCATGGCCAAGCATCTATTAGTATTTAGATGATGGGCATGAAATTGGGAGGTGTGGTCCAGTTGATGAGCTGCTGAGTAGAAAGACAGAAACTCTAACTGGTTCTTAATCAGAATATGATTTTCATTAGTGTTGGTAAGTAAAATTGCTCGTATTATTTTTTCAAATAATTTTGATAGAGTGGATACTAGGCTGACTAGTGGAAAATTTTGGGCTGATTCATGGTCTTTGCCAAGTTTGGGTATGAATATAATTTTAACAGTTTTTCATGCTGTCAGAAAGTAAAAGATTTGTAAACAGGCTCAAAATATATAGTAGATGGGGGTGACTACCATTGTTCAAGCAAACTTAAGACCCTCTGGTGAGACTGCATTATCTGTTCTGTAGGTTTTCAGTTCATGCATTGCAGCAGTTATCGAAGAGCAAGAGAATTTTTATGTGTCGTTAGCAATTCCTCCATTATTGCTGGGAAGGTTATGTTTTTGGGCAAATGTCTGAAAATTGAAGACGTTGAATGCCTCATAGCAGTTAGACGTAGAAATGGACAGTTCATTTCTACTTCTATGAGGTATTGCGATAACAGCTTAGGTTACTTGGTATGACATTTTGACATACTATCATGGTTACTGGTTCCCGCTGGTGTCCGAGTCTTTCTAGACTCGTAGATAAATAGCGGGAGATGTGAGCACATTTTTCGTGCACAGCGAGTGGATGAATTGTAGGAACCCGGTTGATGTTGCCAGTTCCCTGAGGTTTGTCTCGCTGGTCCAGAGAGAGACGATTTTGATAGTTTCTATTATTAGGCTGGACAGTGGTGACCCGCTAATGATTTTCTTGGCGTATTAGATTCGGAATTTTCACGCGCACTGGTAACTTGAAGAGTGAACTTTACTGTTGCGGTGTCGGAAAGAAAATGTCTCTCTCAAAATTTTGACAAGAATGTGCCT